TTTCTGTATCATTAGCATTTTTTTTAAATAAATAAGTCTGTCAGTACCTCAGTTAACCTTAAGTGTTCAATCAATCTTCTTTGCCTTTAGTTACTGCTTGGAGAATTTGAAAGTGTGTACCGTGCATACAATACTACATTGAAATATTAGGTTAAATATTTAATAACACTACACACGTGCGGATTCTCACACACTAACACAATCATAAATAATTTTATTTATAAAATACAATAAACCAAAATTAAGAAATTTAATAAATTAGAATTACAAAACGAAAAAAATACGAAATTAAAAGAAATAAAATCAATTAAAGGAAGTTAAATAAAATGATATCAAATAAAATAAAAGACTAAAATAAAATAGAACAAAGCAAAATAGTACTAAATAAAATCAAATAAAAAAGATAAATAAAAATATGAAACAAAAATGCATTAAAAAAATAAAATAATAATCATTAATTAAAAAAAAAAAAATAAAATCAATAAAATCAAATAAAATAAAATACTAAAATAAAATAGAACAGAAAACATAGTATTAAATAAAAAATAAATAAACTAAAAATTGATAATTATTTAAAAAAAAATAAAATAATGTTTAAAAAATATAACGAATTAAAATATAATACAATAAAACAACATGGATTAAATAAATTTAAATTGACTAATAAAAGCAAGTAATTAACTAGTGAAAATAGTTATCCCAAAGACAGACTAAAATGTAATAAATAAAATAAATGAACATTATTTAAAAAAATATAAAAAGAGAAAAATCAAATAGCAAAAATAGAGTAAAGGAAATAGAAATAAAATGAAATAAATATATAAAAAATAATTAATATAAAATAACGAAATAAAAAAATGAAGTAAAATCAAATAATAAAATAAAATTAAAAATATAAATAATCATGGAAATACTTTAAATTACTTAATTAATCGCAGTCCATACAACAGGAAATCTTATTCATTGTCATGTTCAACGTGCAAAAATAGGCTTTAAGGTCCCAACAATGTTTTTGTAAACTAAACTTTTTTTTCAAAAAGAAATTTGGCAACACTCCTACAATATGTATTATTTGATAACTACTTTCGGTCAATCAATTAAACTTTAGATTAAACCCTGATACTAATATTTACCTGCTTTATAAGTTCTTAAACACTTTATCCTTTTTCTCATAGAAATGACTGCATGACTGCATGAATGAAGAATTTATTTGTGTAATATGCAAACATTTTCCCTCTTTATAAGCATTTGTGTGTGCTTACTCTTCTGCTTATTAAAGCTACCCGGCAACACTGTTTTAAATAAATTCAATAATTTGTCAATTGTTCAACGCGTCAAGGTCACCGAATTTTCGCCAGACTAAAAGCAATAGCTTTCGCGGCCAATGCCGGCGTTTTGCATAGAATTGTTAAATAGAATAAATAAAATATGCTCCATTATATTTTAATTCAAATATGTATGTGTATGTATTTATATATTTTTTATGTTTTCGATTGCGTTGGTTGCTCAATATTATTTATTACAAATAAATAAAGCATATTTATCAACGCACAAGCCACAAGGCATTTCAATGCGAGCAACAAATAAATAAACTCGATGTGCAATTTGATCACTTCCTTTCAGCAGTTATTCGTATTTATTTGTCGCCAAATAATATTGAGCCTTGACAAATAAAAAATTCATCAGACATTAATAAATATTAGCAATGTTGATGATAGATTATGTCTTTTGCCTCAATGAACTTATATTTTATTTATGCACAGCAAACAAAAGCTTTTGCGGTTAACGCAGCCGCAGGCGAATTGAATTTATTATTTTTCGCATTTTTTATTATTATTATTTCTTCTGTATTTTTCAAACACACATAATATAAATATTTTATATGTTTGTTTTATTTATTGACAGAAAGTCGATAGGAAAGTAAAGTTGCTTAAACACGCTCTCAATCACTTAGTCAATCGCTTGGCCAGTCAGGCAAACAGTCTGCTATTCAGTCACTGGTTTTTCAAGCTTTCAATACAATTTGAGTAATCATAAAAAAGAAGAGAATGTGGGAATTTTACTGAATATGTTTTTATTTTGTTAAGCTGGTTAGAAGAAGTACTAGGAGCCCTTGCGGGTTAGGGGCTCACGAATTTACCCGTGGTAAGGCATTCCTGTCGTAAGAGGCGACTAAAATCCAACAGCTCTCGCCAAAGTCGGGTCTTTATACCGGAACGACCCGGATTTTTATCCAGCCAAGGACTGTCACTCCCGCAATATTCCTCGAAAACCATTTCGGGGAATAATTTGCGGTTACAACAACAACAACAAAAAGAAGTGCTAGTTTATTATTGGCAATCACTGACTCAAATCCTACGAAATATACAACATTATTCACAAAACTATTACCCTGTAAGTAATCATTTACCTTGGGTGAAAAATATGACACAAAATTTAAATAATTTTTTTATTTTAAAAATACTTATATAATTTTCTCTTATTCTTAATTTGTATGTTTATTTTTTTAATCTGTTTCTGCTTAAACTTTAAACAGAGGTAATCAGGTTGATTAGTTCGAGCTAAGTGAATTCTTATGTTAGTTGTTCATTAATTTCGTTTATTCAAAAGTTGCAATAAAAAGTGGTATCATGTTTGGACTAGTAGACGAGTAGTATATTTCTGCCCGGAACCTGTGTTTTGTACGCACGTAGTAAATTTTCCTACTTATTATTTTATTATATTTATTATTATTATTTTATTTTGTTTTTGCATATGTGAGTGCCTCTTAACTTACTCGTATGTAGAAAAAAAAGAAGAAGAAGAAAATTAAGAAGCGAGTGAAAGTGTATAAGCGTGTAAAGTCGATGAGTGGAAGGACCAGGCAAATTAATTGTCAATGAAATTTGGGCGATACTTTTGTATAACGACGGAACCAATACATTCACTAATTCTACAAATTGGAGCTAAAATTTCAAACGGTGATGTGAGAGTGAAATAAAAAGCTTTTATTCTTTAAAAAAAATTTTGGTAGTTAAGCTGGTATTATTGTCTAGGTTAGCTATTGCTTTCAAATACTTTTAGATTAACACCAAAGTTATTGAAGGTGGACTTCTGCAGTGGACTTCTAAGGAGTCTCTTTTCAAATTAGTTTGTGGATTGAGCGGTGTTTTTTAACTTATTTAATTCTTTTTTTTATTTTGCTGTTTTTCTGCCATCGTCTTGCCTCACTTTTAGTAGTTTTAAAGTTAAATAAATTAATTTAATTAATTTAATGAACCAATCAAAATTTCACTCAGCTTTTTCTAAACCCACATGTAATACCAATGAAATAAATAATAAATTAGTTCTTGTAGTAATCCACTTAATCGAGCAGTTGCGATTTATTTATTTAAAATATATCCTATTTAATACACTACGACTAGACTTACACTACTAATCTACTACTATTTGAATATGTCCACCACTGAATGAATGTCTCAATTGTTAAGTCGCCGCCATTTGTCTGTGCTCGCCGGTAATAACTAGTTTGCACTCCCCGAGGATAGTCAAGTAGGAAATTGATTGTCCTATGATTGCCCCGCGATTTGTCACAGGATATCCAGCGATAGAGATTTGCCGGAGTATGGACAAACAAATATATTGTACCTGAGCGTACATACCAATGCTTTTACTCTCTCAACAAAAATTTGTTATATGTGCATATGCATGTTCTTTTGTGCTTTCGCCTGTTGGATTTGCGGCCAATGGTCAAGTGGTTACACTCAATTTTTATTTTATCGCATTTTTCTGCTATTCTTTCAAGCGTATGGTCAATACTCACTTTTTCTGCTGCATTTTTTTTTAGTTTTATTTTCCCCCGTTGATTTAGTTTCATCAATAGTTTTATATTGTGCTTAACTAGAGATTTATATCAATCTATTGAAATCGTAATGCAAGTTAATCTCTGTTGATGATGCTGCATTATGGGCGGTGGTCAGTTTCCTTTTGCCTGGCTTATTGATATTAAATAAATTGCAGGATATTCATTTTCAACTAGTCATTTTGTGGTATGACTAATAGTAATGGTGAATTTATGGTAGAATTCCCTAAAGTTTAGCATTTAATTACACTATATACACCTATAAAAAATATTTATTTGAAAAAAAAAAAATAATTCAAAACTAAAATGTAAATGAAAAAAAATTTTTTAAATCAATTGAAAAATTATGTATGCTTAAATTTTGGTAAGCTTCCAGAAGACACAAGTCTATTATTTCTAAATAATAAAATAATTCATTGCCTCTCTATGCCCGAGAAAATTAGCCAAAAAACAAAAATATCACGTATACGCAGTGTACACTCATTAGGAACTTAAACAGAAGCCAGTACGTTGAAAATCAGCGAACAAAATTGCGCTACACTCTTATTTGTCTCGATAACAATACAAGGCAGCAGTCATGCTGAAGTCATTATACCTTTGTGGTCATATAAAAATTATGGGATGTCGTTTAAGGATTAAATAATAATTCTTATACTTGAAAAATCTGTGTCAAAGTTTATTAATATAACGTCAATTTCATGCTCTTAGGAGATTTCGATCACTTACTACATACTTACTACATTTAAATGTATACCAAGTTAGATGGAATTATCTTAAAAATAGACGTGCGTGGCTGAATCAACTCAATGGGATTGGTCTATATCCCTCCTTGCATACTTCGGACTAAAACTAATGTGTCATTTCAAGTAAATGAAAGGTTTAAAAATTCGATGCTCTCCCTTATGACATACAATAATAAACAAAATATTCTTCTTACCATATTATTCGTGAACTTTTTTAATAAAAAAATTAACATGATAAATATATGTCCTTTATCGACATTAATAAGTATATAAATATTCATTTTTTTATTTATAAAAATAAACTGAGTAAAATTTGGCGTTGGCGAAAAGTAAAGGCACTACAAACAAGTAGTAACAAAATTATCTTACCAGTAATTAATCTTTGCATATTTCTCTTTACCTTTTTCACTTTACAGCAACGAATTAGAATACAAGAGAAAACGCACTAACAAAAAAAGAACTGCAAATATAAAACACTAAAACTGTAACAAAAGTTGATGCAAATAAAAGGAATAAATTAAAAAAAAAAAAAAAACAATTTATAAGCTGAAAAATTTTTTTACCAAACAACTTACAAGCAAAATAAACCGCAGTTATTTAAAAAAAAAAAATTAACCTAACAAATCGCAAAGAAAGTATTAAGACGCAACAAAAAAGCAATAAATAATTCATTAAATTAATATAAAAGTTAATAAATGAAAAATAAATTCAAATAAAAATACTAAAAGAAAGAAAATCGCGCACACAACCAGCAAAATGTCAACGGCCAACAATGATATTGTGAACGCAGAGGCCGCAGCGGCAGCCGCACCAGGCTCAGCGCTGCCAATGTCGCAAATTCCAGCAGCACCGACGCCATCAAATGATCAGGTAGGTGGTATACAGCGTAAACCTTGGCAGCGCCAGCAAGCCCAATATGGCTCAATGCCAACAGCGCTGTTACACAAATACACACTCATATGTATACTACACCATATATTTTATATACTAAACGTATTTTGTGTATAAATACATAATCCAATTGCATTACACTATTTTTATGTTTTTACTACGCTCTACTAAGCTCTGCGCTTAATGTCTATTTGACATAGTTTTTGGCGTTTTACTGTCGTTATTCACCAGTTTTATTGCATGCATATAAAATTAATAGTATTTTTTTCCAATGTTTGGCACGATTTACTCATTTTAGGGGCTAATTTTAATGCATCTTTTGCCTTTTTAATTTTTACCAAGTATTTAGCTATTGGGAACGTCTTTCTCTGTGTTTTTTAATGCAGAGTTTTGGTAATTTTATGCCACTGAAACCAAATTTTTTGTCTGTATTCCAAAGCATGTCAAGATATTATATATTCTTAATATGAGCAATGAATGTTTTTAGTGTTATATTTTCATTTTGATATTAAAACCTTAAAATACTTTTTTTCAAGGGATTCAGAAGCTTGTACTTGGAAAATTGGATTCCAAAAAATTAAATCCTCTTACATGTTGAACAAAGAAGAAGGAATCTCTCTTTTCACATATATTTTATTTTTTCTTAATGGAGGGTCTCACTGATGACACTAAGCTCCTCCTTATTTGAAAAATAAATTATATGTATTTAATATCTGATCCCTCTGATCCCAGCTTCTAGCCTTTACACAGAGTGAACTGAGATATGAATTTTATTTGGTTGGAAAAATTAGTCATTCTGAAGTATACAGAGGAATTTTCCTCCCAAGCTTAGCTATAATTTGGGTTTGTTCCTTCCCAGAGGTCACCATGTAACATCACAAAAAATCAGCGGCTTACACTGGTATAACTATTTTGCCCGTACTTTCATACTAAAGCAATCTCAAGAGGGAGTCGAAGAGCCAATGTGGATGAAACCTGACTAGTGGAAGGCCTCAGTGCTGTAGGTGGATACATATATACACATATAATCACCACATTCAATTATTGTCATAACCATTATTAATATTAAATGAAAGCGATGGGAAGGTGTGGATATCTTGGTAGAAAAGACATTGGTAATCCTACTTGAGGGCAAAGTACTTTACGTAGTCAACATTTCTCATACATATTCGAAAACTGGGTGCTACCTATTAAAATTAGAATATTTCTTAAAATCCTGTGGTTAAGATATACCGCGAACCCCACTAATCCATTGCGTTTCGATGTCCCGCGAAGAAAGACCCAACTTGTTAGGTACTCACAAAGATGCAGACGGATCGTTCCAATATTTCCACAGACAGAACGCATATGTATTTCATAGAGAAACTGGTGCCTGCAGAGCCAACTTGGCTATCTAACCGAGTTTTCCTTGAACCAGTACTCATTATGCTCTGACTAGTAACTGTGGAGTCCAAAATAGGTTCTTAGAGTCCCACCCGCTTAATGCTGGCTCTCTATAAGTAATTACAAAAAAATCTTTTCCAAAATTTTCACTAATTCCTCTCTTTTTTCGGCATGCTGCTTATCAGTTAGCAACCTCAGAGCTTACTCAAGCATTTAGACCAACTATGTATCTATTACAATGCGACTAATCACCTGGCAGAGCAAACCACAAATTGCCATTTTAATATTTAATTTGTCAGATAATGAACTTATTGCTTTCCTGTTTCAATTTCACTTCCGCCAGCTTCCAGAGCAACTGCTTACCTACGCACATATAAAAGTAAATAAATAAGTAAAGGAAGCAGGAGGAAGGTTGTAAGGATGTGAGTAGTTTTTTTGTGATGTTGTTGCGGTTTTAGTTTCATTGAGAATGTGGCTCCCAAAGTAATTGGCAGTAAATGTCAAGTTAAGCCGCAATTAATTTCAAAGCGAATGGGGAATAAAGCAAAGGAAATTACAAAATACAACTAAGTAAAAAGGCGAGTGGAGAGAGAAAATAAATGAGAAATAGAAGACTTAGTAAAATAAATTTGCTTTTGCAAAGGTCGTTCAAGTAGAGCTCAGGAGAAATGAAAATGAGATCGATTTTATACATTTTTTTAAATTTTTTTTCTTTGTATTTTATATGTGCTCCTTTTTTCACATTGCTGCTGCAGCTGTTTTCGCCATTGACAAGCCCACAAGCGCCTTTGACAGAATTAAAATATCCAAACACACATTCAGACTACTTATCGTTTGATGACTGTATGCCCACGCTTGTGTATATGTGTGTGTGTGTGAGTGTGAGAGAGTTACAAGAATGCTTACTACAATCATTATGTAATGTCGGCAACCTTGATTCATTCACTGGCCGTACGTCCGTACGCTGATGGAACATGGAATGTCATGTATCAAAAGGGTAGACCCAGACCCAGACCACCAAAGCTAGTCAAAGCTGCCTGCATTAGCCTTCAAAAGCAGCGCAAGAATGCTTTGGCACAAACACACTCATCTCACACATGCACTCACTAATATGCATATGTATGACATAAACACATGCTCAATAGAATAGAATAGAGAGAATCCTTACAAAGCGTTTTGGTTGAAGGCTGAAATGTTGGTCAGACATGTCGTTGCCAACACATTAGTACTTGTAGCAAATCCACACAAATATATATTCACACACACTAACATGAATGAACACAAATACACCATTTAAATACCACACATGCAGGGCTGCCTACCATATACATACGTAACCATCTTATAACCCTTTACACCCTGTCTCGATTGCCTGTCCGCCTGCATGTCTCCTTTAAATGCTGCCCCAGCCACCGCCGCCACCATCAACTGCAGTGAAATCACTAATGATAATCAAATAAAGGATCAAGGAAATTCAGTAGCGGCAGTCATCGCAGCTCTCAGCTCTCAGTGTAACTCACGACGCATTGCAGCAGCAGCAGCAGGGAAGGCAGTGGTTGGTAGCAGACCTGTTTGGTGCGGCATGCAATACATGTTTCTCGTTATTCCACTTGGCAGTGGACCAAAAAATAATTTGCAGATCTGTATGCGCTAAGAAGTTTACAAGTAGTAAAAGCGGTAGTTAAATCTTGATGTTGTTGGTTTTTCTTCTCTTTTTTTTTTTGGTTGTTTTGCTGACCCTGATTTCCGCCTTTTGAGTTTTAAATGTGTGGATTTTATTGAGTTTTTCTCTGTGCTTAAGTTGGGTCATCACGAAGCCTTTTGATATTTCTTAGTTGTGTAATTTAAGCAGAAGTTAGGGCGTGTTTTAGAAAGATCTTTCAGCTTGATAACTGTTCTTTTGCATATATCTTACTGAAATTTTATCAGAAACGAAGCAGGTTATGACTAATCAACAAATTTCAGCCTAAATGTAGGCAATATTTCTCATATAACAACGAAGCGAAGTCACCTACCCAAATTAGTGAAGGTTGATAGATCAAAGGGTTAAATTATTCTTTTTCAAACTAAATATAAACGGGCTTGGAAAGATATTTTCCGCAATGTTGCCATTGGTATAATTCTGCAGCGAATTTTCTTTAAAAGTACCGACAGTACAGAGTAACACTAACAGTCTTGAAGCAATTCCAAGTAAGGCGTACCACTGTACTGCTGTGGGTCAATGCAGATTGCAAATAAACTAAATTCTCTACAACAAGACTGTTTTTTACTTGTTATTAAAAAAAGTTTAATAAATTATATTTCATTTTTAAAAACATTTAACATAAAATTTCGTATATATATTTTATGTATAATATATGCATATAGTGTATTTGCGCTAACCTTAGTATGACACACCGTTAAGTTTATCATATATTTATTAATTTGTTGACTTTTTATATTTAGTAACGCATGCTGTTGCATTTTAAAAGCTAAAAAATAAAACTATGAAAATATAAAATAAAAAAATTAATATATAAAAATATTGAGCACAACTTAATTTTGCATTTTTATTTATTTATTTTACCATTTATTGTTATGATTTAAGTGAATTATGCTTCGTTAAATACGATTCTCTGCTTTCAATACTCCCCAAAAAAGATTTCTTTATCACTATTTATGCCTAACTGGCATATATTCCTTTTTAATTGAGCTCACACACTATTAAAAAAAAAAAAAAAAAAAATTTAAAAAAAATAAACAAGAAATGTATAAAAACTTAAAAAGTTTACTAAATGAAAAAAGTGGCATGCTCAGCCTTACACTCAGTTTTTCACATTGCAAATTCAGCTATTATTGCGCTCCTGTAAATCCCAGTACGCTCTCTGCATATTTCGTACATGCTTTCTGTTGTTGTTATTGTTGCCGTTTTTAATTTATAGCAAAACTTGTTGATTTATTTCCTCACCTCAATAAACTCTGTATGTGGTAGTTGATATGCGATTGTTTTAATAATTTCACACACACCAGAAAACAAACAATAAATTTAGTAAAAAAAAAACTCACGAACGCACACACACCCACACGCAACCAAACAATAAAGTGAAAAACAGAAGAAAAAAATAAAAGAAATGATTGATATTTTCATTCTTTCACCCAAATACATGCTGCGGCTGCTGCCATAACTTGGATACCAATAAAAAATAAAAAATAAAAAATTATAAAAATATATAACGGTGCTGGGTTGTAAACTACCACCACAACATGCAACAAATTGCTGAATTAACAACAAAAACTACAATAAAATGAAATGCCAATGTAAAGTATCTTCCAACCACTCATCAATATTTTCATCACTGCAAACAGCAGCAGCTACAACCACAACAACTGAAAACGCAACAACAGTTCCAGCTGCAACAACAACAACAAGTACAGCATCTGCAGCATCAGCAATCCTCGCTGCCCGCACAGCGTTGTGTAATGCGCATACCAATGCAGCCGCCTGCACCTCAGCAGCAGCAGCAGCAACAGCAACAACAACAACAACAACCAGCCTACGGTCCAACAAAACCACAACAATATCAATACCACAACAACATCGTTAACATTCAGCAACC